GACGTGGACAATGACAACTGTGACAGATGTCACAGAAGGACATGCAATAAGCTATGAAACAAAGTTACAGTCAGACCTACCTTAGTCTGGAAGAAATCAGAAAAGGCTTCCTGGGGCAAGGAATTATTAGAATAAGCCCAGATGATCACTCCAAAAAGCTAAACAAAATGGTATAAGGGACTATGTCAAGAACAGGGAGCAGTACAGTTTGACATATCCCAGAATCTACAATAAATCCAAGGTGATAAAATCTTAAAAGGAGGAGAACAGATTAAGACACAGGCCAGAAGAAAGCAAGAAGTTATCAAAGATTAATGAGGTCATGGCAAAAAGAAACAGAAGTCAACCTAAAAAGGCTTCCATTGGTCAAATAGGAGACAATTTGATAGGAGTGGATTAAAACACATTAAAACTCAACAGCTCATGATAATCTTTTATAATGATAATTAAAACAACGTTCAGTGAACAACTCATTACCAATTACTTTGGAAAATGACATATGGATATCATCTAATTTTTATGCTCCCTTTTCTGTAGCGAGGAGTAATCAATAGTTGATAAAAGTTATTCCAGCAAATAACAAAAAGAGAATCAAGGTATCACCATTTTGTAAAGTCTAACAAAATAATGAATTAAGGCAACAATCAACAAAGAATGCTAAAATCATTAAAGGAGAAATTTATGAAATAGAAGAATAAGGTGATACCACCTGAAACTACTACAAGTGGGGCAATCAGGTATGTAGCTTTGATGAAGAGAAAGTATACAACATCTACAAAATATTTTTATTGAAAAAAAGGGAACCTAAATGTGATAAAATATCTAAATCTAATTTCAAGTTTTCAGGAAAGACAAGAAATAGTGGAATAAGTTACAGCAAACTTCCGGCAAACCTGACCATCAGGATTGCATGGAGGGGGCTTTTTAAACCATATATTGCTAGGAAACCATAAGACTGCAAAAGCCAAACACAGAACATGGGAAATTTCACATTTAAGCAGAGAGGGCTATTACAGAATAAAAATTACTTAAGCTACCTAACTGCAAATGCAATACACAGACTTTTAAGACTGATTCAAACAAACCTACCATAAAAAGACGTATTGAGATGACAGAAAATTGGAATATGGACTAAGAATAGCTTTTACTAGGGAATTTCTGTTAATTCTATTAAGTTACATTGAGTACAATAATAGTATAGTGGCTATTTTTTAAAATGTCATTATGCGGAAAAAAAAGTCAAGGCTAGTGAATTGGCAAAAGCCTCACTATGCAGAACAGGCGAAAGCCTTCCTTTAATGAGTCTGGGCCCAAACCAGTGGTTCTCACACAAGACTGGTACCTTAACCGTAACAACTACCTCTGGTTCCAGAAAGCCACGTGCTAAGCACCACATTAAGTTATTTACATGACTTATCTCTGAATCCTTAAACCTGTTATGAAGATATTACATTCTATACATCATTTTGTCTGCTGTTCATGATCACAGTTAGCACACTTTTTTTTGAGACAAAGTTTCACTCATCACCCAGGCTAGAGTGCAATGGCATGATCTTGGCTCACTGCAACCTCCGACTCCCAGGTTCAAGTGATTCTCCTGCAGCAGCCTTCGGAATAGCTGAGATTACAGGCACCCGCCACCATGAGCCACCATGCCTGGCCACAACTGGCACTTTTTTAAAAAGCATAATAAGCCAGGCGCAGTGGCTCATGCCTGTAATCCCAGGACTTTGGGAGGCCGAGGCAGGTGGATCACCTGAGATCAGGAGTTTGAGACCAGCCTGGCCAAAGTGTTGAAATCCCGTCTCTACTAAAAACACAAAAATCAGCTGGGCATGGTGGCGGGCACCTATAATCCCAGCTACTCGGGAGGCTGAGGCAGGAGAATCGCTTGAACCCAGGAGGTGGAGGTTGCAGTGAGCCAAGATTGTGCCATTGCACTACAGCCTGGGTGACAAGAGCGAAACTCCGTCTCAAAAAAAAAAAAGTGCTAATTCCCCAAAAAAGGATTCCCACAAGGAAAGCATGATATACTAGAATGAAAACTAAATGTGAGTCTACTCAAAAACCTGGGTTACATAAAAAGATGCTAAATATGATCCTTGGGAAATGCAAATTAAAACCACAAGATACTATTAGAATGGCTATAATCAAAAGAATCAAAAAACGATTAAGACAGTAAGTTTCAGCCAGGCATAGTGGCTCATGCCTGTAATCTCAGCACTTTGGGAGGCCAAAGTGGGAGGCTACTCAAGAGGCTGAGGTGGGAGGATTACTTGAGCCCCGGAGGTCAAGGCCGAAATGAGCCGATTGCATCACTGCACTCTAGCCTGGGCAACGAGAGACCCCATCTCAAAAAAATAAAGTAAATTTTGTATGTTTTTTACAATAAAATGTTTTAATTAAACAACAATATCAATATTGAAGAGACTGTGAAGAAACTGTAACTTTCATGCACTGCTACTGAGAATACAAAATGCTACAACTATTTTTTAAAAGTCTGAATTTTTTTTAAAGTTAAACACAACACTCAGCATATGACTCTGCAACTCCACTCCTAGGTATCCACCCAAGAGAAATGAAAATATATGTCCACATAAAGACTTATACGCAAACATTAACAGCAGCATCATTCATAATGGCCCAAATCTGAAAAAAAAAACCCAATGTCCTCCAACTAGTGAGTGAATAAACAAATCATGGTGTATCTACACGATGGAATACCATTCAGTAATAAAACTGAAGGAACTGACTGGGTAGTGGCTCAACCTGTAAGTCCAGAACTTTGGGAGGGCAAGGTGAGAGGCTCACTTGAGCCCAGGAGGTTCATGATGTATTAGGCATGGTTGCGCCATTGCACTTCAGCCTGTTGACAGAGTGAGACCCTGTCTCAAAAAAATAAAAGGAACTAACAAATGCAACAAATAACCCAGACACAAGACTATGGACAGAAAGTATCAGTGACTGTCCTGGTTGAGGAGGGGTTAGGACAGAAAGTATCAGTGACTGTCCTGGTTGAGGAGGGGTTAGGCTGCAACAGAGCATGGGGGAACTTTTTGGGTGATGGTAATGTTCCAAAACTTCATTGGGGTGGTGGGTATACAACTGTATACAATGTATGCTTAAAATGTATTTATACTTTGTTGTGTATAAATTACAGCTCAATGAAATTGTTTTTAAAAAATCATGGGTTGATTAGATCTATAAGTTATTAGCTGTGTGACATTAACCAGAATTTAAATTTTTTTCTTCAGATATGCCTGTTCTGTTTCATTTCATCAGTTTTCATTTCTCACATGCACACGTTTCATTTTTAAAGTGAGCAATTCTACAATGCACTGCAGTTACTGGGCTTACTGATAATTCTTACTTCCACTAGCAAAAGTATATAGTTGTCTGTACTGCTACTTGCTCTATCTTATAAGATTGTTGTGAAACATCAAATAAGATAACTGATGAGAAAGTCCTTTGGTAACTGTAAAACAGTATTACACAACTATATAGTAGACTTTACTTTAAAAAACAGATGAGAAATTTTTTTTTTATGGGAGTGACTTGAGACCCTTGTAAACCTAGGTACCTTAAGTCAATCTTTGCACAGAAACAGAAAGCAGTTGTCGATTCAAACGCCACCTTTTAAATATGCATTTGGAACCTGTTTCCTATTGTCTCTTGAGTTACTCGATGGCTCAATATAGTATTATCTAAGATGCACTTTCATTTTTCAAAGAAAAAACAACACTAAAGAAATGTTTAAAGAGAGACAGATGAGCATGGCACATTTATTTTTCAGGGGAAAAGACAGATTAGTTGAAAAATGTCTTCAATTCCACATGCATTTACTAAGTGTTTTCTGCTGAGACCTGCATTAGCAAGAGAGAGTGAATAATTTTAATAATATCAAAATTTCTTAAACTAGTGTGGCACAGTCATTTCAACTTTTCCCGTTTCAAAATTTGACATATTCTCTTTTTGTTTGTTTGTTTGTTTGTTTCTACTACTGCTGTACAATGGGGCTCTCTCCTATCCTACCAAGTTTGTGTGGTATTTGACATTTAGCCTAGTTATATTTGCAAGTTTCCACAATGCAATACGTATAAAGGCTGTTTGGACATAATCTCTTCCTCAGGTGCAGTTTAACAACTAAATTTTACTTTGAATCCAGGTTTATATCAAATCTTACAATTCTAAAAAGTTATTCTGTCAGCAACAGGTACTACAATGAAAAATTTACAAAGCCTGCAACACCACAAAATACTCTGCTAACCTTTTCAATTTTTAAGACTCCTTTTCAGTAACAGCTCTGAGGAGGAAGAATCTACAGCCAATTCCAAGGCCAGATTTCATTTAATTTGGTCTTACTTCAGTAGTAACCCTAAACTCTTAGGTTTCATATTGTGTCTTCTTTGATAACATTAAGGTCGCTCGGTTCAGTTACTGCACACCTCCAATTTTAGCGTCCAAAAAACCTGAAGAACGGCACCTTGCCTACTCACTCCTCCAACCTTCTCTCAACTCGGTAGCTTGGCCAAACGTGCTGCTCTCTCTACAACGCCAACCAAGCTGGAACGCAGCGCCCGGAGGACGACTGGTCACGGGGAGGAGGGGAGAACTTCGCGGCCCTGGAGTACCGCGGCTGAGGTCCAATCCAGCCCGCGCCTAACCCCACTCTGTGCCAGGAAGGCGTGTGGACCCAAAGTCTCAGGCCGCGGTGCTAGGTCCGGAGGAGCAGAGGTGCGCGTGGCTGGGGGCAGGTCGTAAACAAACCGACGGGAGGAGGGGGAAGGGGCAACGGCGAGGGGGGTGGGGTAAGAGGAAAGACAGGACCTCGCTTCAACCCTACGCCGCCAGCCCGCAGCCGGCTCCACCCCACCGTGGACCAGATGCTGGTTTCAGCGCGGCACTTCCGCGCGAGTCTCAACACCTAAGGCTCCAACACCCCTGGAGCTCGGAGCCCACAAAACCATCGGCTCCGCGACCCCAGCCCCACAGCGCCCTACCTGAACCCGCAATCTGGGTCCCGGGCGTCGCGGCCGGGAGGACCCAGCCCGCTCCTCTTGCTGAAGAGCTTCTGGAACAGCGTAGGGGCCATGCTAGCCACGGCCACGCAGGGGTCGCTCCGCTGGGCGCTTGCTAGGCCCCCGCTCCTACAGCCGCCCCGCCACCCCCATGGGCGCCTCAGTCATATGACAGAAATTAGTCACTTCAAACGGCCACGGCGCGCGGGGCGGGGCGTGAGGCGAGGCCGGCACTCATTGGCTGGAGGTGGGCCGCATCACGTGGCGGCGCGCCGAGCAGGGGGCAAGGCGGGGGCGTGGGGCGTGTCTTCCATAGGCTCACTGGCGGTTCCCGTCACGTGGCAGCTCACGGGGCGGGGCGTGCGCCGAGAAGAGAGGACTGGAAGGTGGGTAGGGATGTGTAGGGGGAGCGGGCTCAGTGTGGATCCTCCTGTGTGAGGCTGTCAGCGGCCATCAGAGGCTAGTCAGGGTGGCGCGGGGACGATACCACGAGCCTTGGAGTGCAGAAACCTTCAACCCCCGCACCCACAGAGTTGCTTAGGGAACCACAGGCAACCGACAATCGCTTGTCAGCCCCTCCCTAGTTTCTGCGGCTTCACACCTCCATTCCGCACCGGGCAGAGTCTGGCGGGCCCTGGAGCACGGAAGGCACACGAGCGTACCCGTGGGGCCGCGGTCAAGGCTGAACTTTGAGTCCAGGACCCCAGGCCCGCCCTTAGTAGGCCGCGCCGACCCGCGAAAGGTCTAGAATCTGGACAGCGCAGAGGCTGGCTCACGGGGACTGGTGGAGGACCTACGGGGACCCTTGCCACAGTTGTGGCACCCCGCAAAGACGACCTCGGGCAAGGACTGCGGGCAGTCGCCCTCAGTGTTTATATTAGCGCCTGGAACCCTGACACTGGGAATTAGTCTCTTGGAAAAGCTAGTGATTGGAGGCTCAGGAGTTAGGCTGTTTCCTTGGTAACCAACAAAATCAGAAGTGAAACCAACGAAGGCAGGAAGCCTAAAGACATATAAGTACAGATATCTAACCCTTTACGCTATTTAGAATTTTAATAAATCTATCTTAATGTCTAAGTATGACAAAGGGAGGAACTGTGGAATTTTAACCAAGTTACAGGGAAGAAACGCTTTCTAAAAAAGAAAAACATTGCTCACATGTGACCTCACGGTCTTATTTAACCCATGGAACCAAAATATATCAGTTTGGATCAAACTAATCTTATAAATTTTCAACACCCCCATCCATTCACTCCCCTTCCAGGATGAGGAAGCTTGTACAATGGGATGCAATTCCTCAGAGAAATGTAGGAAATAACTTGTATACGGTTGGAAGCCTGGATAAAAATAGTTTGGGCAGGTGTGGTAGCTCACGTTTGTAATCCTGACGCTGCGAGGCCAAGGCAGGCAGATCTGTTGAGCTCAGTAGTTCAATACCAGCTTGGGCAACAGTAAGACCCTGTCTCTACAAAAAAAAATTTTTTTAATTATCCAGGTGTGTCCGGGCACTGTAGCTCATGCCTGTAATCCCAGCACTTTGGGAGGCCGAGGCGGGTGGATCACACGAGGTCAGTAGTTCGAGACCAGCCTGACCAACATGGTGCAACCCCCGTCTCCAAAAAATTAGGCCGGCGTGGTGGCGCATGCCTGTTAATCCCAGCTACTCGGGAGGCTGAGGCAGGAGAAATGCTTGAAAGCGGGAGATGGAAGTTACAGTGAGCCAAAATTGTGCCATTGCACTCCACCCTGGGCAACAAGAGTGAAATTCCGTCTCCAAAATAAACAACACAAAAATTAGCCAGGTGTGGTCACGGCATATGCCTGTGGTCCCAGCTACTCGGGTGGCTAAGGTGGGAGGATGGCTTGAGTGTAGGAAGTCAATGCTACAGTGAGTGCCACTTGCACTTCAGCCTGGGCAACACAGTAGGGCCCTATCTCAAAAACAAAAACACAAAAAAAAACTTTTTTAGAGTTTTATTTAACTAGGTATACAAATCAAATTTTCTTTAAGTGGCTACCAACTCCCACTGATTTGCAGCTAGAGTTTACGCCATAAATAAGGGTCTGAAGATATTTACAAAAGAAAATGTAATAGGCAGAATTTATATCCCTATGAGAATTTGTCAGTGACGGAAATACTGAGTTTCAATGTTCCAAGATTTTTTTTAAGTACTATTTATAAATGATTAAGATATTAACATATTCATTCCACAATCATTTAAGTTCTAGGCAGTGGGGATCCAAAGTAAAGAGCTAGCTTTCTAGGTGAGGAGACAGTAAATAAGTATATAAAGTTATTTCAGGTGGTGACTACTGTTGTTAAGTTAGTAAGAAGTAATCAAATGAGGGTGTCAGCAAACACTGAGGAGGTACCATTTGAGGAAGCTACTGGGCAATATGGGATCAAAACAGCAGTACTATTTCACCTAGACATTTCAGATACTCCCCTGGCACTAAATGCTGAAAGATTTCTAACAGTAAAATGAGCTATGCATATTTTTCTCACACAACATTTGAATGTAGAATTAAATTTTTGTAAACAAAAAAAGTCAATGCAGTTTTTAAAAAATAAAAAGAAATGTAGATCCTATCAGTCAATGGGGCAATCATTTGAGGGACTATTGTTTTTACGTTAGTTAAGTTACAGTAAATGAGTATAAGTGGAAACAGGCTCAAGTCTGTCTGTACAGGACTGAAGACACTAAGGATTAATGGCTGTCCATGATTGGCACAAAAAAAGAATAGTTTCAGGTCCCCTCAGAAGGAACTTTCCAAATACCATAACCTTGTGTGCTTTCATCTTGGAAAAAAAATTACTTCATGGGTAATTATAGATACTAATAGTAAGGGAGAAGAACATAAATGCTTGCATAAAAGATACTTTCAGTATTCTCTAATCATGTAATAGCTTTATTTCTGTAGTCTCATTTAGTGTTATACTTGACAGGTACAGAGAAGAACTAGATTTACTTACTATTACCCATCACATTTCTCCTACATTGCAGCATAATACTAAAGTCACAAAATCAGAGAGCACTGAAATGATAGAATTTTGTAATAAAAGAGGACACTGATAGACTGGATAAAGAAAATGTAGCATATATACACCATGGAATGCTATGCAGCCATCAAAAGGGATGAGTTCATGTCCTTTGCAGGGACATGGATGAAGCTGGAAACCGTAATTCTCAGCAAACTAACATAAGAACAGAAAACCAAACACCACATGTTCTCCCTCATAAGTGGGAGTTGAACAATGAGAACACATGGACACAGGGAGGGAAACATCACACACCCAGGCCTGTTGTGGTGGGAACAAGGATTGGGATAGCATTAGGAGAAATACCTAATGTAGATGACAGGGTGATGGATGCAGCAAACCACCATGGCACGTGTATAACTATGTAACAAACCTGCATGTTCTGCACATGTACCCCAGAAATTAAAGTATAATAATATAAAAAAGAGGACAGAACTATGCGTAATTTTAGAGATCAAATTTTAAAAATTTCCATTTTAGTATCAGTGAATATTATCTTTTTTTTCCCCCTCTTACTTAGTACTACATCCTATCACAGAGAAGCTGAGGTGTCTTACAGGCAGCCTTTTTAAGTTTAACAAGTCAGCAAAGAGGAAATGTAAGAAAGAAAATAATTATCTACTCATTCATGCTGTATCAATGTGAACTATTGGGTAACAAAGATTAGACATAAGGCCTACACTCTCACTCAAGGGTAGAAGATTCAATCTCCCAGTCTGGGTTTCTGTCCACCTGCTTCAAAGATTTCCCTCCTGATAGCATAAAAGACATGGGTACTCTTTGCTATAGGCATGTGCTGGTTACCAAATGTAATGGAACAGAAGGAGTTAATAACGTTTACAAGTCATGGACAGACTCTATATCTTCATTTCCTTATCATTGGGAGCATTCCCAGCTCAGAATTTTCCCAATGCAAAAAAAAAAAAAGGCTCTGAAGAGCCGGACCTGGGAACCTGGCCAGTTCCCTGATCCAATTTTTGGTAAACACCTCAAGGATGTTAGTTACATGATGAAGATGTGGACAGTGTCCTGACTTGACCCTTCTTTGTTTTAAAAAGTATAAAAGATTGTTTAGCAGAAGCCAAACTGAGCTTCGGTGGTGACTTGGTCTGGACTTGCGAAAACCCGTGCTGCTTTACTGCCAGTGTTGAAGTTTGTGAGCGTCTCTAGGTATCCTTGTAAATAAACTCTTTTTCCTTCCTTGTAAATAAACTCTCTTTTCTCTATATACCTTGGCTGGTGTTTTTTCTTCTCACGAATCTGCCTGAAAAGATTAGAAAATCCAAGCTTGGTACTGAGCAGTGCTCACACACCAAATGTAGGAAAAGGTGGCAACGAAACTAAAATCTTCCTCCTTTAACCACCATATTAATAAGTATAGCCTCAATTATGCTGAATTATCCTGAAACAAATTATTTCATTGATAATAGCTCATAACAAGACATTCAAAATCAAGATGATCAAGTATACCTGCCTGAAAAACATTTAGATGGGCTCAAAGTACCTCACTTTTAAAAACTCTTAAACCAACTGACCATTTATTGCTATATAATAAGGAAATGGCAGTAGTCTCAAGCACCAGAAAACATAAACAGTGATTAATTCAACAAACATTTCTTGAGTCCCTCCAACATCTCAAACTCTAGGTATGGGGAATATGGTACTGAACAAGAGAGTCCTTATTCTTAGAAACTGAGTTTTTTTGTGGGAAGAGACAAAATAAACAAGATGTTTGCAAGTTGTGCTAGGAGCTAGGAAAGAAAGCATGGATAGCAAGCAACTAATGGAGACCAAATTTAGATAGGGTGGTCAGGGAAGGCCTATCCAAAGATGGGGATTTGAGCTAAGATGTAAAGAATGCGAAGGAACCAGCCATAGGAAAAAGGTGGTGAAGAACATTCTGGCAAAGGGAGGAAAAAGTACAAAGCTCTAAGAGAGAAATGGTTTGGCCTATTTAAAGAGGAGAAAGGAGGCCAGAAGAACGAAAACATACTTTGAGAATGGGAGATGGTTTGAAATGGTTAGAAAGATACAAGGGACCAGATTACACAGGACCTTGTAAATTATGGAAAGGAGGTCAGACTGAGTGTGATGGGAGCTGTCAGAGGAGTTTAAAACAGGGGAGGGACATGAAACAATTTATGATTCTACCGTGGCTGTTCTGTGGATAAGGAGTTTTAGAAGAGGAAGAATGGAATCAGAGAAACAAAACAG